TAGAAAACATCAATTTTATAAACATTCACACAGAATTGTTTACACCAATGTGATTAGCCATCTAAATGTACCATTCAAATGATGCTGTCTGAATAATAGAAAGATTTAATAACTATTTTTTTGTTTTATTTTTATGAAATTCTTTTAAAAATGCCTAAACGCAATGAAATATCGTTTAAGATGACTTACTTATTCACATCCCAAACAAAATTATGTTTTGCGATGCAATAGAAAAGACAAATTGCTTATCAAAAATTCATATTGGAATAATGAATTCAATTTTATTGCATTTTCAAGCCGCATTAAAACTTTTTGGATTTTGTTATTTCCAAAGTGTACTAAAATTATTATAAAAATTTGCTATTCAAACTTATTTAACTAAATTCAAAGCAATTCGTTGATAAATTTAACACAATTTAATAACAACTAAAGTTAAGCTTAAGCGATCATTTCGTTGTGGAAAAAAAATTTGTTTTCTTATAGAAATAATCGTTTTGAAACAAATATGCACAGAATGCTTTCTTCCAAAAAACAAATCACATAATATTCGAAAATTTGAAAAGCGATATACAAGCACTATTTTTGGAAATAAATGTACTGCCATCATTTAAATTTCAAAATGCAATGTCACATTAATTTCACTCATTAAACTATCCTTCCGATTTGTTGTGCAGCTCCTTTTTCTCTATTCTATTATATTTATTATCATCTCAATCCATTCATTGTTCGAAATGTTTCAAAAATTCCAATAACCATAATTCTGTTACTTTTGAACAAGGCTGATCAACAAATCATTTAATGTAAACAGAAAACTTCTAACATATTTCTCTTTCTAACCCTTCTATCCGGTGTAATTTCCGGTCATCCTGATGTTCTTAACATCACTCTATTATCGTTGACAATATCTTTGCAAAAAAATATACTTTTAAAGCAAATAAAGTAAAAAGTGTCTACATGCGTCCTTTCGTGCTAAATTGTGAAGCAATGCAACGTAGTTCAATTTAATTATGCCACAATATGTTCAATTTAGCTAAATCTGCTTCAATTCTATTGATCTTCTCGATTGTACAGCATCGAAACTTTTACGAAAACATAAAAAGAGCACTAAAATTATTTCACTAAAAAATTAGAAATAACAACTGTAAGGAAAAAAAATAGTAATATTCATCTCGAATACTTGCCAGGGCTTAATTAATTGGTTGATGAATAAAAAAGAAAAAAATGAAATGGGTTAGCTTGGCTCTCTCTTCTTTCTTCTCTACAAATGAAGACGAGTTATAGCATAGTAATTAATGACAAATCATTTAAAATATGCTATGATCGATTTTGATACCATCTCATGTCTATTAACTGTTGGGAAAAGTCCACCGTGATATCTTCCTGACTTTCACGTGACTTATTACTGACGGCTCTTTTTAATACTGATAGAAATTATTTTGCTTTTTGCAGAGATTGCTGTCATTGTAATGCATGGAATTAATTCTTTGATCATTGCATTCAGGTTGTCCAATAATAGCTGTTAAAAGAAATTGAGATTTCCAATTTTGTAAAAAATAACCCAAAATAAATAATGTTTCATAGGGCTATCAAAGTAAAAAAAAGTGGAAATCAGAAGCAAAAATTGTGAAGTGCTAAATTTTGCTCAGTCATTATACAATTGTTTGACTGAAGATTTATGTACTAAATTGTTTCTGTTCGAACTTCGTAATCTTTAGAAGAATTAGTTTAACAGCAAGGATTTTCCAACTCTATTAATATGGAAATTGCTTTGAATGGTAAAAAATTCTACAATTTAAAGGAGCTTACTAATCTTGCGAGTAAGTGAGAGAGATGGATTTTTAAATCGTAATGAGAAATGAATGATCCTCTAATAGTGCTATAATTATTGGCATCAGCGATAGAGTGATATGATAATTTGGTGATATATATGTGGTATCGTTCTCTTCGAAATTCTAGATAGCATATTTTCCACTATATTTCATCAAACTGTATTTCTTCAAATGAGTGATTCATGTACCCATTCTCGAATCACACTTTCATCTTTGATCGTATTGAAATATTGAATTTTTTTGTAAAAAACATTCAAAAATGAACTTTGGAAATGATCAGAAAAGAGTAAGCATAATGATGCATATATAATGCATAGATAATGCATAATGCATGCATCTCTGTGCATGCAAGGCATACACAGCTCTTTGTTTACATTGACTAATAAGTCGTGAAGAAAGCAAAGTGTAATTTTAGAATGGTTCTTTAATAAAAAAGAATATTGGAATTTGTTAACCTTAAGGTGTCTTATGCTTCGTTTGAATCAAAATGTGCAGGAAAATTAAAAATTTCAAAAATAGTACAATCTAATGCTTCTCGCCATTTTATATATTACCGGAAATGGAAAGAATTGTAATTAATATTATTTCATTGGTATTTCGAATCAGATTTCACTTTATGTTTCTTTTGAATTTTTTGTTATTCTAATCGTTTACACTTTATCAAGTACGAGAAGTTTTTCATGTCTATTGTAATTAAAAAAAAACTTCAAATATCATGTTCGAATGTTTTTATTTATTCTTTTGATCTTCCTTACCAAATGCGCTATTTTAACTTTATCACTCTTTCCTTCTTCTCTTCTTTTTCACATTCTCATTTCCATTTAAATTAAAATAACCGCTCATTCTTCCAATTCTTCCCGGTTGTTCCTATTCCGTCTTTGGCTCATTCTATTTCTGCTCAAATAATGGTTGTACGCTTTTTCAGTGCTTTTAAATTTCTCCCTTTTTTCATTGCTTGAAAACTCATAAATAACCGTTTCTATTTAGATTTCTGCTAGACAAGGACAACACGATAATGTGGCCTCATCTTTAGATTATACTTCATCTCTACGTTGGTCTATTGGCTTTATTTTAGTACTCACTGCTGCATATTTTATTTTTCGGTATATTTCATGAAATTTATTTGTTTTTATCAGGATTAAAAAATGTCCAAAGGCTGTAACATAATAGAGTTGCATATTACAATACTTCCAAATTAAATAATTTCTTTTTATCAAATTGAAAGTACAGTAAAAAAGGAAGTAATTTTAGTTATTGTTTCATATAACAATGAAAATAACCTGCTTAATTATAATTATACTAATTATAGTTAAACAAGTAATTTTTTTGGTCATATTTTACAGCTCCAATTATGCATAACCAAAAATTGGAAGACGATAATTGAACATAAAGTCTATAAATACTTGAGCCTTAAGGCTAAGGCACAATTGAACCGTTGAAAAATTATCTCACTCCGTACATTTTTTAATTGTTATTTTAATTATAGATCTGTTCTCAAAAAATATTTTGACGAACAGACGAAATCACTTGATATTCTTTTCTTCAATGATGATATCACTGCGTTAGTTTATTTACCACTCTTTGATGTGAAGTGAATTTTAGAAGTGATCTTTCTGCATTGAAAATGCAGATAATAACCTATAATTTTATGATATTTTTCTTTTCATTTTCTTCTTCTTCCAATAAATATCCCTCCGAAAACTTATGTTTATTTGGATGCAACTTGACCGATAATGAAAACTCCAAACATATTAATCGATAAAAATTAAAAGAGATAAGTCAGCATATTTGAAAATGAGCTAACTCAATTGAATGGAAAATAATTACATTTGATGAATAGATTTTAACTTTTAACGCTAATTCAGGAATGGGTCAGCGCGGTCAAATGTGGACCATCGATTGCATGAATATATTCACAGATGCTATCCTCCAAATGTCATTAATGAGTGCACGCAACGGATGAAACCATTAAGCAGTCGTGCTAAGAATTGATTCAGTACATCAATGAAATTTCAATAGGATTTTAATTAATTCGCGCATTTTAATCTTCATGCAAAATTTGGTGCACATAAATGGCATACAAACGGATTCAAAAAAATTAAATCTCGCAAAATTTTAAATTTAATGATTTTGCATAAAATGTAAATTTTTCACTCAAATTATCATCATATTTAGAATGAAGATGTTGGTTAGCTCATTTTGTTCTTCTATTCTGTATAGCTGTCGAGCGGACGTGTTTTGCTAAACTTCGGGAGTGCGGGAAAGCGAGCCACTGATTCTAAACATGATGTATGCTTTTGTTGAGTGTTTGTGAGCAAAAAATCAATTACTTGTCTATAATTACTTAATTTCCAATCTGAGATAAAGATTTTACCACAGAACGGAGCATACGGTGAGATAATGAAGTTAATTATATCCTGCTGCAATAGTAATTTTTTTAATTATTGAAAGAGTGCCAGCAGCAAAAAATTCCGCTTTACATTTAACAGGAAAATTGATAAAAAAAAACCAAGTAAAATTGATTTATATGTTACGAAATGACTTAGCTTAATATAAGCTATCTCAATAAGATTAACAAAGGTTTAGAAATTTCTAAGCTAAAATATATTTTTCTATAAAGAGGGGAAAGCATAGTAAGTGGCGGAGGATTTCCTGCTCGAAAAAAATTGAAATTGCGCTAAGCAATAAAAGTGTATGGCAGCATAAAGTTAGGCTCTCATACTTGCATTCCTCGTCAAACTTTCAATCGAAAAATATACTAAACTGAATTGAATTGAACTCAAAAATTTTAGAAAAAAAATTCGTGCTATCATGATAGGAAGATAAAGTTTATGAACTGAGCTTTTGTTTTTTTAATACTTTCTGCTTAGATGATAAACAAATAAAATCTACTCAAAGAAAATATTCTAACCTGAAAAGTAAAGATGATCTGTCAAAATTTTTAAATAATCCGAAATTATGCAAATATAGGTGACATAAAAGGTAGGGATCATAACCGCTTTCAATTAAAAACTAAAATTATTGCGCTTAAATTAATCATCATAAGATAACTTTCTGCGCGCATTAATTGAATTCAACATTTATAGTGTAAATTTGTATTTACACTAATAGCACTCTTATAAAGCAATCAAATTTAGATCAACAGACAATCAGGAGGTACATGCAAATCTCATGCACAAATGCAAGATAAACATTAACGATCAGCCACATGTCGAAAGAAAAACAGCAATAATATGTACCATTGGTATGAAGTATTTCTGGATAGAAAACTGAGGCTAATTCACTTTTCTCAATTCTTTGACCAATTCTTGGCTTCTCACTTTTCAACAAATCAGTATTTCTAATGTGTTGCTTCAAATGAATACAAGGATTTTATTTTGTAATGCTATACTGCCATGCTCTATTTATGTCAACGTTAACGTCGAAATACAAAGTGCTAATATTATTCCTGAATAAAATTTGGAAAAAAATTTGTAATTATAAAACCATTTACTTTTTTATTAATATTTTTCTCAAAAATATCATTAGTACAATTCTTGAGCAACGTCCGCGCAATTTTAAATTTATTTAATCATCAATTTTATGATGAAATTATAGGACCAGCTTGTGCAAGTGTGGATAAATTGAAAGAAATGATATCAGCAGGCATGAATATTGCTCGTCTTAATTTTAGCCATGGATCACACGAGGTTTATATCAACAGTTTTAATTATATACCTTTCATTATTCATAAAGTTTGGAAAAAGTTATTCAAAGAGTTTTCTCAATTCTTATATAATCGAAAATAATTTTTTTTCCTCGAAGTTTCCGAATTAGGAAATCTGTAAGTTTTCAAACTAATTAATTTTCTTTATAGTATCATGCAACAACAATAAAAAATATACGCGAGGCGGTGCAAAGTTTTCATCAAAAGCCATTAATTGCAATTGCTTTGGACACTAAAGGACCTGAAATTCGCACCGGACTTATAAACGGAGTCAGATTTAAATTCTTGATAAAACTTATAAACAGCAATTGAAACCATTTGATATAAGATATTATTTCCATAATTTAAGTTTAAGCAGAGCTATAAAAGCGTTGTCAAAGATTAAGGAAAAATTAAAATTTTTGAAGATTAAAAATATTACAATAATAAATATCAATTCTCTATCTGACATTCTTTCAAGTCCAATACGGCAGAAGTAGAACTGAAAAAAGGCGCAAAAATAAAACTCACAACGGACAAGGCCTTTGCTTCGAAATGCAGTGCTGATGTATTATACGTTGATTATGAGAACATGCCCAATATTCTGAAGCCTGGGGCTCATATATTCATCGACGACGGACTCATTTCAGTGGCTGTTAATAGCATCCGTATGACTGTTTATTCTGAAAATAAAAATTTCAGTAATGATTAGCCGGAAAAGTATACAGGTTGAGAAGTTTGGTCATAATTTGATCGGGATCCTTAATTTGCTCCCGAACTCAACTTGCTATCAATTATATTATTATTGCGTGGCGCAATCAAATCTTTGATCCATTTTTAATAGTATAAACACGATAAAAACTGCTTATAGAGCCAAGTAATTCCATCATTTTAGAAGGCAAAGACATAATGTGCACGATCGAATATGGCGGTAAATTAGGCAGCAAAAAAGGGATCAATCTTCCTGGTACTAAATGTGATTTACCTGCCGTTTCTGATAAAGACACTCAAGATTTGAAATTCGGTGTTGAACAGGTACCAATTTCTGGACTTATCTCAGCAATCTTTTCCAAGTTTTTTAAGTTAAAATTAACTTAAAAATACTTTTATTTTTTGCAGGGTGTTGATATGATATTTGCGTCATTTATTCGAAACGCTGAAGGTGTGCGTGCAATTCGGCGTATTCTCGGCGAGAAAGGAAGATTTATTAAAATTATAGCGAAAATTGAGAGCCAAGAAGGCGTTGAAAAGTAAGCTAATTTTGCTAAATTTTCTAAGCGACTGATAAGCAAATTTCAAGTTGTGAAAATAAATTGCTTTGCAATTCTGAGCAAACTGCCCGTTAAAAGTTCAATGTGAATTGCAATGGGATGCTATTTTGTTGAGAAATGGAAAAAACATCGGAAGGGCTTTTTAGCGCAGATGAGATAATCAGAGAAGCTGACGGGTTGATGATAGCGCGCGGTGATTTGGGTATTGAAATTCCCACTGAGAAAGTATTTGCGGCGCAGAAAATGCTAATCGCACGATGTAACGTAGTCGGGAAACCCGTTGTTTGTGCTACGCAAATGCTCGAATCAATGACTAAGAAGCCAAGACCTACTCGAGCCGAGGGTAAGTTAGTACGTAATACAATGGACCATTTTCAAATATGAAAAGCTGTTCTCACATGTTTAATGTTAATTTTAGTTCCACAATCATATAACTGCAATTTTCGTTTCCCGAAACTGTACTGATCATAATCGCAAAAGTAGTAATAACTTGTT